CTTACAAAAACCTTTTGGCAGCAAACTTTTTTGTTTGCAAGTGGCAAACATTTTTTTTTTGTATACAAAATTCTTCTGGTTTGCAGGTATTTTTTTTCAAATATTTTTCTTTGTGCAAACTTTTTTTATTTTATTTAATTTTATTTTTATTTGTGAATACAAACAACAAGTATGTAATATAATATTATTGATTTATTTATATATAATAAGAAAGAATTATATTAGTGCTTTATCAACGAATATATGAATCTTTTTTACAAAGATTCTTATTATAACTACTTATATATAGATATATAATAATAAAATAAGTAATAAGCACCTGATTTCTGAAGTATACTTAGAAGAGATAATAGTGAATGATAATGAATTACAAGAGTTTGAAGATAAAAGATTGGAAGAAATAATTGTGAATGATAATGAATCACAAGAGTTTGAAGATGAAAGTATGATGTTTAAACTTAGTAATATAGATGAAAGTAAAGAGGAAAATAGTACAGTGTTTGAACTTAAAGTAGGAGATGAATTCATAGATTAGAATTTAGCTGAAAGACAAGTTCAGAATTATATGATGAAGTTGAGATTTGAACTAGTTAAATGCCGACTTGAAAAAGATAAACATGATTAAATTGTACGTTGTATATTTGAATATAAGCATTTAGACAAATATCAAGCAAAAAAAAAAGCAGATAATGAAGATATTCGTGAATATAAGAGTGTAAAGATAGATTGCCAATTAAAAGTCAATCTTAATTTATCTGGTGGTGCTGTATGTATTACTTTATTAAACAATAAACACAGTTATTTATTATATAAAAGCATATAAGATGTTTCATCAAAATATCAACGTCTCAACCTAGAAATGCTTAAACAAGTTGAATTTTTTGTAAGCTTGGGAAGCAAGCATAATAATTTGTGGATTACAAAAAAACTTCTCTGATGCAATAATCTGTCCCAAAACTGTATATAACACAATTCAACTTTTTAAGCATAATAAATGTTTAATAAAAACTGATGCTTCTAATATATATAAAAGGTTGATACAATTACAATGTGAGGAGACTAATTGGTTTGTTGAGGCCCAA